TAACCTAACCTAACCTAATCTAACCTAACCTAACCTAACCAAACCTTACCTAACCAAGTCTAACCTAACGTACTCTAGTCTAATCTAACCTAACCTAACCTAGCCTAATCTAACCTAACCTAATCTAACCTAACCTAACCTAACCTAACCTAACCAAACCTTACCTAACCAAGTCTAACCTAACGAACTCTAGTCTAATCTAACCTAACCTAACCCAAATTCAAACCTTCAATGATTGTAAAGTGATACTGCAACTTGTGAGAGGCTTCAATCTTAAATAAATACAGTGGAACCTCAAATATCGAACTTTCTTCGGTCCAGAAGGCTGTTCGAGTGCCTTTACCGAATGAATTTATTCCCATCAGGAATAATGTAAATTAGATTAGTCCATTTCAGACCCTCAAAAATACACTTACAAAAACACACTTACATAATTGGTCGTGTTAGGAGCAGTTCGATTTTTGAGGTTCCACTGTACTCCGTATTTCAGGATATTAGTCTCCCTGTAACCTGGAGAAAAATAAGATATTTGTAATGCTTGAAGCTAAGCAAAATGATGCATTGAAACTGAAAGCAGAATGTGATCATTTTTTTTCTTCTTGATATTGTTGAGGGTAACTGGACACTTAGGGAAATTTGGATAAGGTTATGATAGAGATAAAATTGTTTTATAATCCTGTGGAAATAAAATAACTACGGTAATTATAAACCAAAAACTTGTAGATTTTAGTAAATGTAGATGTGTAAAAGACTTAAGATTACGGATTAGGAGAAATCTGAAGACATGGTAATACCTGAGAAGTGTTAGAAACAAAGCTGACGGATTGCTTGGCTTACTACCAAGAAATATATATGGCAAATGTCTCAGGGTTACAATATATACATCACTGGTAATGCTTCATTTAAGTATTTTAGATAATGAACATAAAAAGGATGAGAAAACCTACAGAAAGACGACGAAGTTAATCCACTGTACCAGAAATCTTTCTTATAAAGGAAGATTAAGAATAAATAATTAATATTCTATGTAGAACGAGGGAGGAAGGAAAGTGGAAATTGAATAAAGTTCAGGAAATATTTAATCAAGACAGAACTCGCAACAATTATTTCATATTTTGCAAAGTAAAACATAGAAAAGATTTCGAGATGCTTTTGTTTTGGGATGCAGTTGCAGATTAATAGCACAGCTTTACAAATTCAAAATTTATGTAAAAACAAGGTGAGTAAATTGGGTTTGACAAGAAAATAAGTGGGAATGACTGAGGGCGAGTAGAACACGTCTTGGACATGTATAGAAGTGTTTTTCAGTTATCGTTTTACCTTAGTAGTTTAAAAAATGAATTTCAGTAATCAATAATTGTAGGATTTTAGTAATAAAAGAAAAATAGAATAATAATGTATATACTTAATTATTTAAAAAAATGAAAATTACTAATCACAATAGTTATTCTGAAATAAAATTAGACGAAGGTAATTAGGAGAGACGATCATTTATCTCACTACTGCCACCACTGAATACCAGCAGCACCACTGAACACCAGCAGCACCACTGAACACCAGCAGCACCACTGAACACCAGCAGCACCACTGAACACCAGCAGAACCACTGAACACCAGCAACACCACTGAACATCAGCAGCACCACCAAACACCAGCAGCATCACTGAACACCACCAGCACCACTGAGCATCAGCAGCACCATTGAACACAAGCAACACCACTGAACACCAGCAGCACCACTGAACACCTCCAGCACCACAAAACACGAGCAGCACCACAAAACACCACCAGCACCACTTAGCATCAACAGCACCATTGAACACAAGCAGCACCACTGAACACCAGTAGAACCACTGAACACCAGCAGCACCACAGAACACCAGCAACACTGGACACCACCAGCACCACTGAACACCAGCAGCACCACTGCCCAAGAGCAGCGCCACTGAACATCAGCAGCACCACTGAACATCCGCAGCACAACTGAACACCAACAGCACCACTGAACACCAGCAGCATTACTGAACACCAGCAGCACCATTGAACACCAGCAGCATCACTGAACACCACCAGCACCAGTGAATACCAGCACCACTGCACAAGAGCAGCACCACTGAACACCAGCAGCACCACTAAACACCTGTAGCACCGCTGAACACCAGCAGCACTACTGAACAACAGCAGCACCACTGAACATCAGCATCACAACTGAACACCAGCAGCACCACCACTGAACACCACCAGCACCACGAAGCACCAGGATCACCACTGAACACCAGCAGCACCACTGAACATCAGCAGCACCACTGAACACCAGCAGCACCACTGAACACCAGCAGCATTACTGAACACCAGCAGCATCACTGACCACCACCAGCACCAGTGAACACCATCAGCACCACTGCACAAGAGCAGCACCACTGAACATCAGCTGCACCAATGAACACCTGTAGTACCACTGAACACGAGCAGCACCACTGAACATCAGCAGCACCACTGAACACCAGCAGCACCTCTGAACACCACCAGCACCTCTGAACACCACCAGCACCTCTGAACACCACCAGCACCACTGAACATCAGCAGCACAACTGAACACCAGCAGCACCACTGAACACCACACAGCACTACGAAGCACCAGGATCACCACTGAACACCAGCAGCACCACTGAACATCAGCAGCACCACTGAACACCAGCAGCACCACTGAACACCAGCAGCATTACTGAACACCAGCAGCATCACTGACCACCACCAGCACCAGTGAACACCATCAGCACCACTGCACAAGAGCAGCACCACTGAACATCAGCTGCACCAATGAACACCTGTAGTACCACTGAACACGAGCAGCACCACTGAACATCAGCAGCACCACTGAACACCAGCAGCACCTCTGAACACCACCAGCACCTCTGAACACCACCAGCACCTCTGAACACCACCAGCACCACTGAACATCAGCAGCACAACTGAACACCAGCAGCACCACTGAACACCACACAGCACTACGAAGCACCAGGATCACCACTGAACACCAGCAGCACCACTGAACATCACCAACACCACCAAATTACAAGAGCACCACTGAACACCACAAGCACCACTAAACACCACCAGCACCACCAAACACCACCAGCACAACCAAACACCACCAGCACCACTGAACACAAGCAGGATCACTGAACACCACCAGCTCCACTGAACACCACCAGCACCACTTAATACCACCAGCACCACTGAACACCATCATCACCACTGAACACCAGCAGCACCAATGAACACCACCAGCGCCACCAAACACCAGCAGCACCACTGAACACCAGCACCACTGAGCATCAACAGCACCATTGAACACAAGCAGCACCACTGAACACCAGCGAACCTAGAGGCAAGAAAGTAAAAAAAAATAGAAATGGGATTCGCATGCAAAACGAATCTGGTCGACGCTGGGGTGAGACAAGCAAATTATCCCACAGCTGTAACCTATGTCGGGCAGAACTACAACAAGGCGGAAGTAGGCCAAAAAATGCAATGAAAAAACAACAATAAAAAGCGAGAAGGAATGAACGGTGGACTACCTCGTTAGAGACCACCGGTGAACTACAGTTAATACCGAGAAAACGTGAAGGAAGAAATTAACTAGGCAAATGAATGTTACAATATTTGTTGGTAAAACATTTCACAAATTAACTCATATTCTGGTAAGGAAAAGTTTCCGTCCATCATCGACTGTTTTCAAGTCACATCTCAGATTATAACTGGGACTTGATAATGGTCCTGTGGAAAGCGAAACTTCTCGTAAAGTTTTCTCTCCAAAATGTGGATTAGTATTGGAAACACTGCCTCTTCCTTGTCGTGTGAGTATATTTAATTGAATCATAAGATAATTAAAGAGAATCAAGTATAACACCTTAACTACTGGAAAAGTTTGGAAGCACTTAACTTGTACTCACTGGAGCACAGGCGAGAAAGATACATTATAATCTACACCTGGAAAATCCTAGAGGGACTCATCCCTAATCTGCACACAGAAATAACTCCCTATAAAAGCAAAAGAATTGGTAGGCGATGCAACATACCCCCAGTGAAAAGTAGGGGCGCCATTAGTACATTAAGAGAAAACACTAACTGTCCGGCGCCCAAGACTGTTCAAAAGCCTCTTTGGTTGACTTCAAGAGGGAGCTGGACAGATACCTAAAGTCAGTGCCAGATCAGCCGGGCTGTGGTTCCTACTTTGGACTACATACAGACAGGAGTATCAGCCTAGTTGATCAGGCCCTGATCCACCGGGAGGCCTGGTCATGGACCAGGCTGCGGGGGCGTTGATCCCCGGAATACCCTCCAGTTAGGTAGACAACACAGAAGAAAATAGTGAAACGGCAGCGAAATAATCATAGGAAATAGCACAGTAATTAGCTGAGAATAGAATAGTAGGTTCGGTAGGCAACGTACTCTCTTCATACACGAAGTGTCCGTGGTTCAATCCCCGGCATAGGTGCTTTCCCTGGGTGTGTGTTGAATCCTGAGTGACAAGATTAAAGGACCCCCAGTCGAAATAAGACAGAAATTCCTTGACCACGCACTGACTTTCTTGAGCTATCCTCGGAGGCTAATCCTTCCCCAGGTTAAAAGTCCGAACAAATCTTATGTACAGTGGAAATACGAAAGATCTAGTATTCTGATTTCTATCTTTCTGATTGAGTTCTAAGATGCACTAGGAAGTAGAGAGAATTAGCATGTATTGGCAAATGTAAATCACTATATAGGTAATGAAAAGTACTGACGAGCTACGGTGTACCTCAAAACTGTCTTCGAGGGTGATAGACTGATTACATTGTCTTTAACTCTACTGTTTTAGCTGTATCTATATTAGACTGAAGAAGCCTACTGTGTAGGCTGAATGTTTCGAAATTAAGATACCTAAGTGTTGCACCTGCATCTTATCAGCTTGTCTGTATTGCATACCATTTTCATACTCATACTTTATACCTGGACAGAACCGGTGGAGAGTGTAAGAATAGTGGACGAAAGTGGGCTGGAGTTGGTAGGGGCAGCGGGGCCCTACACTGTGGGCCAGAGACCCTCCCTAACTTGTCGAGTCCATGGAGGCGACCCACCACCAACGGTCACCTGGTGGAGGGACGGACGTCTCCTAGACAGCACCTACCACCACCAGTCCTTACCAAGGTTAGTCTTACGTTCCTCTTGTTTGTGTATGAAGTTCGTTCTCTACTATACGTAAATATCTCTTTCAATCTAGTAGGAAATGTTAATTAAGCTCTCATTCTCTAGATTTTTTCCCGACTCAGGATAACATTATCATGGTGACGATGCTTGAGCGGCCTGCGTGCCACACTAAAAACATTGTGCCCTGAATACCTTAAAAATAACCCTTTACGCCAAAATACACCATAAATTACAGTTCACAACTTGGAACGAGTTATGGATATAGTTTCGAACTTCATCTATTGGACTTCAAGTAGTTTCTATCATATCGTGCTTAATATCTGTAATTTGATAGTAAATCTGTCACGGTTGCTGCAAATTGTTATTGATATTTGAAAATTGTTAACACAGTTAAAAATTGGTAGTGATTGCAGAGAAATAAAAGTGTTGGCAGCGTATTTAATGTTAAAAGAACAGAAAATAATCAGATTGTTCTATTGCCTGTAAATTATACCACTCAAACTCTCCATACCAGTTTTATAGTGCATTTATCCATATATTTACGGAATTCCCATTCCTTCTGTCAATAATTCGTCTGTTGACCAAGTACTTTACTCGGGCACCTTTTAACTTATGTATATTCTGCGTGTTACAGTAGTGTTCGCTCCACCTACCATCGCTTCTTAATCTTTGTATGTGTGTGTGTGTGTGTGTGTGTGTGTGTGTGTGTGTGTGTTACGACTTAATCTTCACCGTAACAATAGGGGCACAAATAACTCCAATTTTTTGTTAGTTTTATTTTATTACCAATGGTATTTGGTTAGTGAATTAAAATAACCACAAGCAATTATAAATGAAATACTATACAGCAAGGAACCCAATCTTACGTTCAAATTCTCATTAACAGAGTATTATACAATAATTTCAATTAATAATCTACTAATCTCACCATTTAACTCTTTTTAGAAAGGTCTGGGGTAACGAAATAGTTATCTTTCATAAGTGACATGAATTACCAGACTTCAGGAAACTAATGGCAAAGGCAAGACAATAGACTTGGTATAAAGTTTTAGTTTAAGCTAGGAGCTTTGGGTTGAAGACCCGTACCGAGTCAGAGCTAGGAGCTGACTGACTCACTCAACTGCTTCATAGTATGACTTCAGCTCGGCCAGAAGGCGACGCGTGGCGTCAATTCTAGAACGACCAATTGGTCACTACAGTAGTGGTTACACATTCGTAATACCTAACCTAATAATAATATAATATAGTACAATATAATACAATGAGAGTACTTTTGATGATTCATACTGTACCCGATAATAATATATAGTCGAACCTGCTTTATCTAGCTAGTAATAAAGTGGTTCGCGATATATTATTACAGAACTTATTTTAACCAGGCCTTTTATTTTTGTATATAATGGAGTGAAGGGCGCGTAAGTGTGTGTGTGTGTATGTGTGTATGTGTGTATGTGTGTGTGTGTGTGTGTACTCATTTATTTGCGGTTACAGGGGTTGAGCCATAGTTCCTGGCCCCGCCTCTTCGCTGGTCGCTAATAGGTTTACTCTCTCCCTGCTCCATGAGCTTTATCGTACATCTTATATGGATCCTGCCTCCACTACATCACTCTCCAGACTGTTCCTCTTCCTGACAACTCTATGACTAAAGAAAAACTTCCTAATATCCTTATGACTTATCTGATTATTATTATTATAATCAAGGGGAACCGCTAAACCCGGAGGATTATACAGCGCCTGGGTGGGAGGATGTGGAAGGCATTCAGGCTTAATTCGGGGAACTGGAGCACAGATCCAATTCCCTAAATCAAGAGCCCCTCACCAACATCAAGGAACCTTCCTTGAGGGGATGACTTATCTGAGCTCTCAACTTCTAGCTGTGACCCCTTGTTGCTGTGTTCCGTCTCTGAAACATTCTGTCCCTATCTACCTTGTCAGTGCCTCTCAGCTTTTATTAACGTGTTCTCATGTTCCTCCCCCCTATTCCTCCTGTCCTTCAGTATTGTCAGGATGAGTTCCCTTAACCGTTCCTCGTAGGACATACCCCTCAGCTCAGGGATTAGTCTTGTTGCAAACCTTTGCACTTTCTCTAATTTCTTGACGTGTTTGACTAGGTAGGGGTTCCGTACTGGTGTTGCATACTTAAATATAGACCTGAGGTACACGGTGTATAGTGTTGTGAATGAGTCCTTACTTAGATGTCGAAATGCTATTCACGGCTTACCAGGCTTCCGTATGCTGCAGCAGTTATTTGGTTGATGTGCTCCTCAGATGTGTTCTGTATGATGCTTACCCCAAGATCCTTTTCCTTGAGTGAGGTTTGCAGCCTTTAACCTCTTAAGCTGTATTCCGTCTGCAGTTTTCTCTGTTTTTCACCAAGATTCATAACTTTGCACTTGTTGAGATTAAACTCCAGAAGCCATTTGTCGGACTAAGCTTGCAGCCTGTCCAGATCCCCTTGTAAGCTTACCTGATCCTCCTCCGCTTAGCTTCACATCGTCTGCAAACAGTGACACCTCTGCATCTATCCATTCCATCATATCATTCACATATTCAAGAAACTGTACCGTACTTAGGACTGACCTTTGTGGAACCCCATACAACAGATACACCCACTCTGACACCTAGTCTCGTACCAACACACGCTGTTTCCTTCCTGTCAGGTATTCCCTGATCCATTGCAGTAATTTCCCTGCTACTCGTGCCTGCTCCTCTAGCTTTTCAACCAGTCTCTTGTGTGGTAATGTGTCGAAAGCCTTCTTACAATCCGAGAAGATGCAGTCTACCCATCGTTCTTTCTCCTATCTTACTTCTGTTACCTTATGGTAGAACTCTAGTAGGTTTGTGACATGGGATTTTCCTTCCCTGAAGCCGTACCAATTATCATGCATGACCCCTTTTCTTTCTAGGCGCTCCACCATTCTTCTCATGATAATCTTCTCCATAACTTTACATGCTATACTTGTCAGCGACACTCGTCTGTAATTTAGTGCAGTCTGCCTATCTTCTTTCTTAAAAATCGGAACATCATTTGCCTTCTTCCACACCTCAGGCAGTTGCTCTGTTTCAATAGATTAATTGAAGATTGTTTTTAGTGGACCCAAGGAGAGATATTATTTGGGCTCACCGCCTTTGAGGTACCTAGTTCCCCAAGCACTTTCTTCACCTACTCCTCGGTTGTGTGCAGTGTGTCCAGCACTTGCTGGAGCACCCTACCACTTCGGTATACTGGAAGCCCCTCTGCTTGCATTGTGAATACCTCCCCAAATAGTGAGCTGAGCTCCTCACTTCCTTGTTGTTCCCTGTGAGCTCTCTTCCTTCCATCCTCAGCCTGATTACCTGGCCCTTAACTGTTGTTTTCCTCCTAATGTGGCTGTATAATAACTTTGGGTTAGATTTGGCTTTTGAGGCTATGTATTCTCGTATTCATGCAGGGTTTCTCTCCTTATCCATGCACATTCATTACTTTTTCTTCGGCTCGACTCCCTGTTTTCCTATGTTCTTTGCCTTCTATACATTATCCATGATCTAGTACACTTGGCCTTGGCCTCTCCACACCTGGTAAACCATGGGCTCACTCCAGTCTTCCGTTGTTTCTGTTGCCCCTTGGTACGAACTTCTCCACTGCCTCCGTGCACTTTGTGGTCACATGATCCATCATTTCATGTAGGAATTGCCTCATACTTGTATAGTCCTCTTTTTGGAGGTTTGGCTTCTCCTGTCCTTCTCGCTCTACTTCACTCTCTATTGTTAACTCTATGTATTTGAAACTCAAGACCCAGTGATTGCTAGCACCTAGGGGCTTTCATGTGAGATATTGCCTATGCATGAACTGTTCATGGTGAATAGGGGTCCTGCCTTGTTGGTACATCATCTCTCTTTCTGGTTCTGTCCCTAACATGAAGTTTTCCAGTACTGCCTACAGCATTTTGGCTTTCCACATCTCTGTGGCTCCAGATTCTCTCTGTCAATCTTCTTATGGTTGAAAACCCACATGATGAGTGAGTTTCCCCTAGGCTAGTGTGTCCACCATCAATCTGTTGCTTTCATCACATTCTTTTTGTGACCTCCTGCTGTTCAGTGGTGGGCTGTACATAGCTGCTATCATCACTTTTGCACCCCCAGTTTGAAATGTTCGTACTATGTAGTCATGTGCTACTCCTCTGACTAGTCCTCCCATCTCCCATCTCCAGTGGTTTTTGGTAAGCAATGCTTCTCCTCCTCACCCCCTCTGTTCCCCATCTTTCCTCAATATGTGAATGCTATGATGTCCGGAGATGCCTCAGTGATTCTTTCGTGCCACTCCTCACTGCTACTTGTAGTTCCATCTGCATTGGTGTACCATGCCTTTAGCTTCCTTTCTAGAACTGTATTCTTGGGGTAGGACGGGTGATGCAGGCTGTGGGTGTGAAAGGCAGGCCTGGATATAATGGTAGGCTGCTGTTGTGATGGTATTAGTGCTGGGGAAGGGGGACTGACGGTATTGAGTGTGGCTCGGTTCTGGTTATTGTGGTTGGCTGGTGTGGGGTGGTAGGGGTTGAGTGGATGCTGTGGGTGGTTCTGTTGGTGGCTGTGTCCACTGTTTTCTACTGTCTGTCGGTACCTGTCCTGTCCCCCCTTCCCCCTTCTGCCTCTGGTGTGTTTTTTTTTTTCTCTCAGTTCTTCCCTTTCTTTTTGTGTTCTGTCGTGGTCGAGGTAACCTGGGGATTTTGGAAAACTTTTGGCAGTGGTTTCCTCTGCAGGATTTTGTTTTTAACATTTCTGTTGTATAGGGTGGTTCCTTTCCCTCGAGTACTACATAAGTCTGAAAATTTGTCGGTTGGGTCAAGTCCTCTCCTGTTAAAGTGATGATGCTCTCAATCTCTTATACCTCTTGTCTTCTTTTGTGAAAGGTCTCCATTTCTACCTCTTGGAACCAATAAGTAACGAGTGTCCTTTCCCTTTCCTCATCCCATTCTGTTTCCTTCTGTATCTCTGGGTCTGATTCAAGTTTCTCTTTGGTTGTCTCCTTTATTTCCCAGACTTCCCAGTAGCCCTATATCGTTTCCTCAAGGACTTTCCTGCTCTCTTCCCTCTCTGAATCCCCCACTGTCAGCTGTTCCTTGACCCTGCTCCTTGTTCCTATTGGTCCTCACCTTTATGTTCCTCTTCAGCACTTCACTTACTCCACCAGGATCAGCATCCTTGTCTCAGCAGCAAGAGCTCGTAACTCCCACTTCTTGCTCTCTGTAGATTTCTTCTCCTCCATTGTGTTGCATAGCTCACTTAACCTTTTTTCCCACTCCTGTTCAATTGTGCCCTTGATTCTTCTTCTGCGTGCGTGCGTGTGTGTGTGTGTGTGGTGTGTGTGTGTGTGTGTGTGTGTGTGTGTGTGTGTGTGTGTGTGTGTGTGTGTGTGTGTGTGTGTGTGTGTGTGTGTGGTGTCTGTGTGGGTGTGTGTGTGTGTGTGAATAAAGCTTGTGCCTCTTCTCCTCTACTTCCATCATGTCTAAATTTGAGTACCTTGTGTGTGTGACAGTAAAGCGGTCGCCACCTCCGACACGTCGAGGAGAGCGAGGGTGGAGCCTGGACCGGTGGTGGTAAACACGATACACCTGCGGGCGCTCAAGAAGGAAGACCTCCGCTCCACCTACACCTGCCAGGCAGTCAACCATGACCTGGCTCCCACCAAGGAAGCCGCCGTAGAGCTCGACATGAACTGTGAGTACTTGTGGTGTTTTCAAAGTGAGAATAGAGAAACATAGTGATCTAATCATAGCTACGTAGTTGACTTAGCGATTTGTGAGCTTCAGCTCCTGGCCCCGTCTCTTAATTTTACAGTGAGTAGTGTGGTAGATTTATATGTAGTGGAGTGGTGTTAGTATTATGTAGATTATAATGTAGTGGTAATCGTTTTATTATAGAATGTAGTGGTGACAGTCTTCTTTATAACTTTCGCGGTGGTAGTTTTAATAGATATTGCAGTGGTGGTAGTTTTAATGAATATTGCAGTGGTGGTAGTTTTAATAAATATTGCAGTGGTGGTAGTTTTAATAAATATTGCAGTGGTGGTAGTTTTACATATCCTTTTCATGACTGACTTTTTCTGGAATTATTGTTTTGTATTTAAAGATGTCAATATCATCTGCTGTTCTCTGTTCTCTCTCTCTTGATCCTTCATTTCTCGATTACTTTTATTCTTTAAAAATATTTACCAATGCCCCTTCATCTGGGTCTCTCTCTGATTTCATTTATTTTTGAATATTTTGTATATTGTGAGTATCTCGTAGCTCAGTTGTTAGCGCACTTGACTCCCACAGTGAGGTCCATGGGCCGATTCTCGGTACTGGTGGAAACATCAGGACATGTTTCCTTAAGACACCTGCTGTCCCTGTTCACCTAGCAGTAAAATAAGTACCTGGGTGTTAGCCGCCTGGTGTGGGTCGCATCATGGGGGCAAAGAGACTTAATTTACCGAAATGCTCTAAATAACACAGGGCTTTCTATATACTAGTATGTCATTGATGTCAGCTAGGCCTATATACCTTGTACATGTACTTGTAGAAATATAGACATAATTATTATTATTATTATTATTATTATTATTATTATTATTATTATTATTATTATTATTATTATTATTATTATATCCTGTATTATTAAACACACTCGCGCAAGTGTGTGTACTTACCGGTTTGTGATTGTGTGTGTGTGTGTGTGTATGTACTCTAAGAACTGCATCACCTAGTTGTCTTTGCGGTGATCTTCAGCTTGTACATGTGTCCCCTTGTTTGGGGTCCACTTAATTCATATAGTTTTAAGAATCTCCCAAAAGCACAGTGTCATCAATAAAGAGCAACTGTGACAAATTCCACTTTGTGTTAGATTGTTTATCTTTTAACCCCACACCTCTTGTATATATAGATACATATTTTTTTCTACTGATTTAGGATTTTATCACCAATCTGCACTGTTGCTTTACAGAGTAATGGGGTAGAGGCGGCTCGGTTTGTGGAACACGGGGATATCTTTCGTGGATCGGGCAGCGACAAAAATACAATTAATTCTGTTTTATTTCTGTGATTCTGTCAATGAGCTCCATAAAAATGCATGGGAAAGGCATTTTCCTCCCCTAAATCCAAGCTGTTTTGCTGTTAACAAACTTCACCTGCTCATGATTTCAGTTGTCATTTTCCTAGCTATTATCTCCAGAACTTTTGTTGGCTTCCGCGCATGTCCTGTAATCCAGTATTCTCTGATGCAATTTTCTGTACTCACCTAGTTGTACTCACCTAGTTGTACTCACCTAGTTGTACTCACCTAGTTGTACTCACCTAGTTGTACTCACCTAGTTGTACTCGCCTAGTTGTACTCACCTAGTTGTGGTTGCAGGGATCGAGTGTCAGCCCCTGGCCCCGCCTCTTCACTTGCCGCTACTCAGTCACTCTACCCCCTCCATGAGCTTTATCATACCTCTCCTTAAAGCTATGTATATATCCTGCCTCCACTACATCACCTCCCAGACTATTTCACTTCCTGACAACTCTGTGACTGAAGAAATACTTCCCGATATCCCTGTGGTTCATCTGAGTCTTCAAATTCCAACTGTGACCCCTGATTGCTGTGTCCCATCTCTGGAACATCCTGTCTCTGTCCACCTTGTCGATTCCTCTCAGTATTATATATGTCATTATCATATCCCATCTATCTCTCCTGTCTTCCAATGTCGTCAGGTTGATTTCCTTAGCCTCTCCTAGTAGGACATACCCCTTAGCTCCGGGACTAGTATTGTTGCACACCTTTGCATTTTCTCTTGTTTCATTACATGCTTGGCTAAGTGAGGGTTCCAAACTGGTGCTGCATACTCCAGTATAGGCCTAATGTATAGTGTACAGGGTCCTGAATGACTCCTTATTAAGATGTCGGAATGCTGTTCTCAGGTTTGCCAATCACCCGTATGCTGCCGCAGTTATTTGGTTGATGTGCGCCTCAGGAGATGTGCCTGGTGTTATACTCACCCCAAGATCCTTTTTCTTGAGTGAGGTTTGTAGTCTCTGGCCCCTTAGACTGTACTCCGTCTGTGGTCGTCTGTGCCCTTCCCCAATCTTCATGACTTTGCACTTGATAGGGTTGAACTCAAGGAGCCAGTTGTGGGACCAGTCCTGCAGAGTGTCCAGATCCCTCTGTAGTTCTGCCTGGTCCTCGTTCAATTGAATTTTTCTCATCAACTTCACATCATCTGCCAATAGGGACACTTCGGAGTTTATTCCTTCAGTCACGTCGTTCACAAATACAAGAAACAGTACCGGTCCTAGGACTGATCCCTGTGGCACCCTGCTCGTTACAGGCGCCCACTCTGACACCTCACCACGTACCATGACTCGCTCTTGTCTTCCTGACAGGTATTCCCTGATCCATTGTAGTGCCTTCCTTGTTATCCCTACCTGCTCCTCCAGCTTTTGCATTAATCTCTTGTGTGCAACTGTGTCAAACGCCTTCTTACAGTAAAAGAAAACGCAATCTACCCACCCCTCTCTCTTGTCTTACTGCCGTCACCCTGTCATAGAACTCCATTAGGTTTGTGACACAGGATTTCCCATCCCTGAAACCGTGCTGGTTGTCGTTGATAAGCTCATTCCTTTCTATGTGTTCTATCATTCTTCTCCTGATAATCTTCTCCCTGACCTTGCATACTATACATGTCAGTGACACTGGTCTGTAATTTAATGCTTCGTGTCTGTCTCCTTTTTTAAAAATTGGAACTACATTTGCTGTCTTCCATACTTCAGGTAATCGCCCTGTTTCGATACTTGTGTTGAAGATTATTGTTAGTAGTACACATAGCGCCTCTGTTCCCTCTCTCATGACCCATGGAGAGGTGTTATCCGGTCCCATCGCCATTGAGGTATCAATTGAGGTACCATTGAGGTATCAAGCTCGCTGAGCAGCCTCTTCACTTCTTCCTTGGTTGTATGTACTATGTCTAACGCTTGTTGGTGTACCCCACCTCTCTGCCTTTCTGGATGCCCTTCTGTCTACCCTGTAAACACTTCTTTGAATCTCCTGTTGAGCTCCTCACATACCTCACGGTCATTTTTTGTGACCTCTCCCCCTTCCTTCCTCAGCCTGATTACCTGATCCTTAACTGTTGTGTTCCTTATAATGTCGCTGTACAACAGCTTTGGGCCAGATTTGACTTTCGATGCTTTTTGGGCTTCCTTCTTACCCGTGCATATTCATTTCTGGCTCTACGACTGCTCTCCTTATTCTCTTGGGTTCTTTGCCTTCTATACATTCTTCCATTCTCTAGCACACTTGTTTTTGGCCTCCCTGCACCTTTGGGTGAACCACGGGCTCATCCTGTTTTTCTCGTTATTCCTGTTACCCTTGGGTACAAACCTCTCCTCAGCTTCATTGCATAGTTGTCATATATCCCATCTTCTCGTTTACTGACTTCCTGCCAGCTCTCTGTCCCACTGAACCCCATGCAGGAAGTTCTTCATGCCTACATAGTCCCCTTTCTTGTAGTTTGGCTTCATACATTCGGCCTTTCCTGCTTACCCCTCCACCTGTAACTCTACTATGTATTAGAAACTCAGAACCACATGGTCACTGGCCCCAAGGGGTCTTTCATATGTGATGTCCTCAATATCTGCACTTCTCAAGGTGAATACTAAGTCCAATCTCGCTGTTTCATCTTCTCCTCTCTCTCTGGTAGAGTCCCTTACGTGTTTGTGCATGAGGTTTTCCTAGTACCACCTCCACCAGCTTAGCCCTACATGTTTCTTGGCCCCCATGTGGCTCTAGGTTCTCCCAATTGATTTTCTTGTGGTTGAAGTCACCCATGATCAATAGCTTTGCCCTGCCTGCATGAGCCCTTCTGGCCACTTTGGCCAGTGTGTCAACCATTATTCTATTACTCTCGTCATACTCTTGCCTTGGCCTCCTACTGTTCTGTGGTGGGTTATACATCACTGCAATTATCACCTTGGGACCTCCAGTCTGAAGCATTCCATTCTGTAATCTCTTTCTACTCCTCTGTCTCCTCTCTCCAGCTCATCAAAATCCCAACTGTTTTTGATTAGCAGTGCCACTCCTCTACCCCATCTTTCCTCAGGATCTGATATCCCGTTGGAAAGATGGCATCTTTTATCATCCCTGTGAGCCTGGTTTTGGTGAGGGCTGTGATGTCTGGTGATGCCTCTTTCACTCTTTCGTGTCAATCTTCCCACCATCGCGTTGGTGTACCATACCTTCAGTTTCCTTTCAAACACTGTGCGTTGGGGGGTCTGTGGGTGTGGGGGACCTGACAGTGTGCTCCAGGATTCCACAGCGTAGTGTGGGGTGGGGGCTGTAAGTGTGGACAGTGTTGGGATAGCATGCTTGGTTGTGGTGTTCTGAGGATGGTTCTTTGTGTGCTTGCTCTTTTTGCTGTGCCCTGCTCTGGTCGTCTTCTGCTGATTCTGTCCTTGTCTCTCTTACCGGCTTCCTTTCACTTTTTTGTCCGTTCCCTCAGCTGCTGTCATTCTGTTTTTGTTCTGTCTCAGTCTAGGAACACCCTCTTGTACGCTGATGATTCCTTCAGCCATGGTTTCTCTTGCACGATTCTGTTTCACACGGTTTCTGTCTTGAAAAATCAGCTTGACTGGCCATTTTCTCCCCTTCTTGTGCCCCCTATTCTCTGAAAATTTACCATCTCAGACATGTCCTCTTCGCCTGTT